TATTATCTCGAAGCAAAATTGAACATAACACTAAAAGAAATATACCTACTAACGTCACTTAATCTTTGCCTCAAGCAGGAATTATTTTTTAACAACAAATTTTATCGACAGAATACCGGACTGGCTATGGGCTCTCCTCTGTTTCCGCTACTTGCCGAAATTTTTCTCAATAGCCTCGAGACTGTTTCTGATTAACAATGAAGACTGCTAAATTGTTCATTGCTCTGGCTATGTGGTCGACATTTTTTTCAGTGTTTTATTAGAGGATCCGAACAGATGCTGTAAAAGTTTAGCGACAGGACTCTTCAAACAGCAGTCGAAACATTGTCCTGATTATTCATTTTTGAGAAATCAGGACCCTGGCGATATTCGTGGAGTTACTCCACACAAGAAGACCGTACGACAGAAAAGAAATTATTGCAGCGTGTTAAAAAGTTTTTAGAGTATTGTGATCCACATGGTCTTTAAGCAGTTATATGGGAAAGTTCTTTGTTGACAATTTTTTGCAAATGGTGTCAACTTGATTATGTCAAGACAGATGGTGGTCCAATGAAATTCCAAGGAATTTAACAGAGTTCCGCTGAACGAGACTGTTGGATCCATCCCTGATAAGCATACCTCTGTCTTGGGGGACAAGATAGGCCCCAACACACTGCCCTGTAGTACACCAAATCTAACAGTCTGAAATATCAAATTTCCCCCATTTAATAATTTAACACATTGAGTTCTATCACTTAGATAAGTCGCACCCAGTCGTCCGCTGGTCCTCGTATGCCATAGTTAGATATTTTATTCAAGAGTTTGTTGTAGTCTATAGAGTCGAAGTCCTTAGTAAAATCGTAAAATATACCCACCGAATTCAAATTTTTGTTGGTTGTTTAATATTTTTTGATAGGACAAGATTGCATCGGTCGTTGAGTGACCAACCCTATACCAAATATGTTAATGGATTCACAATATTTTGGGCACACTTTTCAATCAGATTGCAAGGTATTTCATCAAGACCACATGACTTTTTACTGTTGACCAATTTCAGAATTTCAAGATCCATTCAGTGGTGCAAGGAATATCGTTTGGGAATTTTTGTTGCTGTTTGGCAGATCGATGACCGGACTCAAGCCTGTTTCAGTGCTGGCGATGAGCTCTTCTACAAACTCCACAAAAAAATAATTGAACGCATTTGCTATGCCTATCGAATTAGTAACTGCAGTATTGCTTACCACAATGTTTTCAGGTTCAATGTTCTTTGGGTTATTTGTATGAGAGTTGATGATCTCCCAAGCCATCCTAGTGATGCTGTCCCATTATATTATCCGGTTGGGAGTTATAGAACTTTTTTGCCACAGCAATATTCCTTTTATGTGCTTTAAGTTCATTCCTGTATCGCATTTGGAGTCTATGGCTGCCTGATATTTTCACTTGTACATGAAGTTTTCTCAGACCTGAACCCTCTTTATTAACTCTCAGGTTATCCAAGAATTTTGCTTTTTCCTGTTATGATTGCTCGTCTTGTTTCTTAGGGAAAATGCTATGTTAAATAGTTCAATAAAAGTTGAAAAAAAGTAAGTAAACTTGCCCTCCAGTTCAAGTGGATGGAGGTCTATAAGTACGTTTTCTTTCGATAATAAATCATTGAAAAAGTTAATGTTTTCTTGCGAGAAGCATCGAGATTTGCGCTTTAGGTTCTTACACAAAAAACATTATCTAGTACTGTGCAAGACAGACCCTGGGTCCTTGACGCATCAAAGAAGGATTGTGAAAGACCATACCAGCTGAAAACGTTCTTAATACATGTAATTTCCTTGGTCCTACACTTGAAGTCATAATTAAAATCACCAGATATAAACAACAGTAGCATATTTTTAGTTAAAAACATTAATAATTTTTCAAGATTCTGGCAAAAACAATCAAAATTTGTACCGGGAGGACGATACAATTCGCAAGCTATCGAACGGGTATTGTTGAAGGTTTCAATCATTGCTGCGGCAGTTCTAAAGTTCCCTCCAAGAGATGGAACACCATCCGTTGACCGTACCTGCTTGCAGAATTTCTGGTGCACAAACAGTGCGACATCCCCAGCTCTAGAGTTCCTCAAGGTGGCTACTGAAGTGTGGTTGCTAAATACAAATTGAGAGTCTTTGTCGTGTATGAGCCAAGTTTCCGCGAGACATAGAATTACCGGGTATTTCTGACAGTATAGAAAAAATTCCAGTTCAAGAGATTTGCGACGGATTCTTGCATTCAGATTAATAAGTCTAGTGTCAGTGTTGCCGTGTGGGGCGAAAAGTTCTGCTGCCTCCCTTTTGCTGTTGAGGCAAAAAAATGTGAATTTTTTTATTATTATATTTTCCGGCCAGTTATTTGGATTCAGTAGGCTCTCTTCTAAGTCTTGGCTTGCATTGACTTAAAAGGCTTTAGGTATATACACCAGACTTTACCTGAACCCTCTCCACAATAAAGCTTCCATCTGGTCCAAAGCTGGTTTTGAGATATCCCAATAAGTCTGCTTCATTAACTTGTGAATGTGGGGATACTTTTCAGACAAAAATAGACGTTTGCGGAGTGGAGGCCATCAATTTATCTCCCACTGCTTTCTTCTATCCAACTATTTCACCTTTTTTCCCTAGTGGTTTTTGTCGTTTTTCCATACTAGAGCCAGCCTCCATGCCAGCTCCCATGGATTTCTTGGCTGTTATTGTAAATGAATTTGGCAACACTCCGGGCGATACATTGTTTACCAATATATTGCTTTTAGACAGAAACTGAACTTGTTTTGAAATTCAAGTTCTAACCAAAAATCTCACCTCCACTATGCCTTAAATGGATAAAGCCTTGTCAACAAATGATGAAATAATGAAGTGTGAGGCTGTGTGCACGTTAGGAAATGTAGAAGAAAGAAGGAGGGTTTTGTATTCCGTGCAATTTATTAAATCAATTAAGTGCAGAGCGGCCATCATCAGTGCAACCTGCAAGTAAAAGAAAAACTCTAAGAAGAATTATTCTTAGAGTGACAAAAATGAGATGAAGAAAGTTTTTCTCTTACTTGCAGGTTGCACTGATAATGGCCTATATGCCGAAAGCGCTCTGCACTGAATTGATTCAATAAATTGCACGAAATACAAAACCCTCCTTCTTTCTTCAACAAATGATAAACCTTCACCAACAAATTTTGGTGCCTGTGACAACTCTGACAACTGGATCGTAGAGAGTCCTGCTCCTACCCGGCTAGATCAGGATTTTATCATCACCATGATACGATTGATGGAAGAACAAACACAACATGTAACGTCTAAATTCCAGGATTTTGCTCAGGCAAGGAGAGAAACAAATGCGAGAACCACCAAGGAATTGCAGTAACAAATACGCTGACCAGAGTGCATGGAAAACTTAGTAAAAAGATAGTGAAGCAGAAGAACAGGCCAGTTTTAGAGCAGGAAGATCAACTGTAGACCACTTATTTAGTTTGACCCAGGTAATAAAAAAGAAACTAGCGTATAACCAAGAACTCCATTGATAAAGCATATGAAAATTTTTCGCTGAAAAAGCTTTGAGAAGCACTGGAAAAGACCAATATCAACTTAGAACTAATAAAGGTAGTAGAAACACTATGTAGTGATGCAAAGACCAAGATTAAATAGGGAAACGTGATCAGTAAAGGCTTTATAAACTAAAGTACTTAAACAGGGATGCTGCATATCACCAACACTTTTTAAAATATACTTAGAACAAGCGCTCAAAGGGTGGAAAGACAAATGCAGACACATGGGAATACCGCTCAATGAATACAATCTATATACTTTAAACTTCGCGGATGATCAAGTATTGATTGCACAGGACTATGATGACCTAAAGTACATGACACAAAAATTGATAGAGGAATACGAGAAATGGAGTTTGGAAGTAAATTTTACTAAAACAGAATATATGACTATAGGAGGTGAACAAAGAACTTTGAAATTGAATAACGGACAAGAAATAAAACAATGTACTGAATACAAATATTTGGGCATGAAAATCTCACATGAGGAAACCCTTATAGGTAGTTTAAAAGTCTGGCCACTAAAAAACAGAACCGCAAAAATTCTGGAAACAACTGAAATGTACTTTTGGAGGAGAGCCGCAGGCAGGTCAAACATGGAAAGGATAACAAATCTGAGAATTGGGGAGATTATGGACGTAAAACACATAATAGTAGATGATAATATCCTTTATATTATAAAGGACAAACAGCTAATTTGGTTCGGACATGTACAAAGAATGGCAGATGTAAGAATACCCAAGCAAATTATTGAGTGGAAGCCAGAAAGAAGACGAAGACGCGGCGGACCAATAAGAAGCTGGAGAAGTGGAGTAGACGAAGAAATGAAAGCCAGAGGCTTAGAGGAGGATGCCTGGATTGACAGAGATGGTTGGAAATCGGGAATCAGAAGACGTAGAACGCTAAGAGCCCATAATTATATATATAAAATAGATGCAACTAAACAAGGAACGGATCACATGTTATTTTGTTGTTTTGTTTGAGATAATTATTGGAGTGTTTAAAATTCACTCAATAAGAATTTTAGTGTCTTAATGTCTCTATTATACCAATGCTTTCCCTCGTAATGTATTTTTCTGTGTATTTTTGACAAGTAAGAGTGACTTTATTTGATTTAATTTGAACTAAGATCGTCTTTTTTGTATAACTTGTCAGTCCTGATGATGACGTAGTATGGTCGAAAGCGCTTGGCTTGACGTGAATAAATATTTTATATACCTTGTACCACCTCTCATTTCTCTATCAACTAAGGTACCTATACTAGCCAATTTGTACGTTAATCGTCACAATATTGTGAAAAACATAATGAGTTGGTCTACGATACAGGCTGTGGGTTACTAGCGTTGTACAGTTAAAACTCATCGCCGACATTTTATTGTCGAAATTCTGAGTTTTTTATTCTGACATTTCACATAATTCATTGTTCCATATTATATTTTAATTTTCCTAGTTTTTCTTACAGGGAAACAATGGAATCGATGCTGGCGGAACAGCATTACTTCCGCTCACCCCTTCGACCATTCGGCGAACTAGACACCCACAACAACAACCTTTCGCTCGAAGAAAAAGCCATTTTAGCTGCCCGCTCTCAGTTATTTTTACGAGCTGCGGCAGCCGCAGCAGGTCCGTACGCTCCGCTGATGGGCAGTCTTTATGGCGCTGGAGCTTCGCAGAGCGCTCCGGTAAATCCTGTAGTACTGTGGAATCAATGGGCCGGACTTGGACCGTCACTCTTAGCTGCGCAGCATCAGCATCAGCTAGCTGTAGCTGCCGCTAGTACGTCACAGCTAAGTCCGCAGATGTCCGGTTCCTTACCGGCGCTGGCCAGGCCTTTAGCTCAGCATCGGTTTAGCCCTTATGCGACACCTACTAGAGCGAGTCCTGATACTAATCTTAGGGAAGATGGTGAAAGTCCAAATAGTCCGTCGTGAATACATGGAAATTGTGAATATTAATTTATTTAAATATTTATTAGGACACTTTGTAGAGGTTTAATTCACTAGGGGGCTTTATGGACCTTATATTTGGTTTTTAGATTTTTAAGTTTGTTTGTATTTGTATATTATTTATTTTTATCGTGGTATAATATCTACAGATAGATACACCTAGAAACTTTTATTTGAAATGAAAGTTTTCAGAGAAATCTGCTTTATGATTCAAGATAGCTTGACAAGCAAAAACATCAGCAGACCTAATATTTACTATGGATATTGAAACTAAAATAATAATAACAACGCACTTGTTCAATTTTCATTTTCTCTTCTTATCCTCCTTTATGAAAAGAATAATGTGCTTTAATTAATAGGTATCATGTTTTACAGTGTTTTTAACTCTAGAGGAAAAATAGGGCTTAGGATAAAAATAAAACGTGATTGTGATATATTGTAGTACTAAGTTATAAAAATTAAACTGTTATTTTAATGCCCACTCTACCATATATTTAGGTAAATGAAAAATTTGCATTAATAACCTAAAAATTTTTTAATCTTTCATGTTTGTATTATCTTATCATTTAAAATAATAGCGATTTGTTTATCACTGTTAGTTGTTTTAAATATCTTCACTTTTGTGATCTTTTCACTTTTCTAGGAAATTTTATTTTTAGACAATAATTTTCAAAAACAACAAAATCAACTGTTTAACTTGAAAAAAAAAAACCAATATATTGTAAAATACATTTTTGTATATAAATAGACTATTTATAATTTATTACTATCTAATGTATTTACTGACTTCCTTATTTCTTTTCGCACCTAAAGCCATTAGGAAAAATGTATCTTCCTTAGCGCCGGGCTGACAAACGTCGACTTCCTTCGCAGGGAAAAGATCTTAGGAAAAAACGGTGTGAAACGAAATATTCAGAAGTCGGTACGCTTGTACGCGATGTTAATTGTATAACAAAAAAAAAATTAATAAATATTACCTCGCTTTATTTTTAAATGTTGTTTCATTTCTGTCAATAATAATCGTCAATCTGAATTCACCACAAAAAAACAGATGTTAGCTCATTATCCAATGAACTTAGCTTTGACTACAACCTCAGGTAAGTTGACATATTAGAAGCAGCAATTCCATAGAAGTTAGGCTATTGAGATTGCAGATCTGAGAATCTGATGTTTGCAAATTATTTACATCATATCTCAGTATAAAACAATTCAGAGCGTGAGGGCATGTTACATTAGGGCGCTACTTACTTATGGACAGGAAACTCTAGTTTTTTTCTGGTCCTCAGAAACCTTAAAATTTCAAATAAATAACAAAATAATATCTACTAATAAAAATTAAGTTACGCCAAATCAAATAAATTCAAGACCTACAATAATTTTAAAAAATTAGGAAATAAAATTAATCAGAACAAAAATCGGATAAAACTTAACATTCAGAAAAAATCAATGTATGACAATAAAAAAAAGAAACCCCCCAATAATAAAGAATTGACCAATTGAGAAATGAGACAATAAAAACAAGTTTAAAAAAAATCATGTGCAGGTCCGTACATGCGGTAGAATTGAAACTTCTATCGGCATCAGAGTTGTACTGCCGGGTATGCGCGTCACACTCACGAAAGTTCTGAACTATTCTTCGTTCGAGCAACTGAGACTTTGGACTTACCACACGAGTAGGGGTTGAATACGAAAGGGAGACGCGGATAGCCGGAACTGTGTATTAGATATATTTTATACAACTTATAGCTCTTTTTCCTGCATTCTCTCTACTCTGTCTTGTAACGAAGGTCTGTGTTTGAGCACTTCAAGCTCTCTCTCCCTCTCCTTCTCTTTACATTATACATATATTTTTTCTCTCTGGTGTAACGAAATGGGCCTAAACGTGACGCGTTTCTCAAATCACTCTCCATTGTCGTCCAAATATCAGACCGCCGGCCGCCTAAGAACTTTCACTTCAAAAACATACAACTTTTAGACTTATCGAATGAGTCGGGGTAAAGACCACATCATATACAAAAACAATCAGCAGGTTAACTCTCACGCGCATCTTTTTTGCGCACGCTGCCATTCGAGTATACTTGTGGGACTTGCACCCACTGAAATCCTTTCTCTACTCTTTCCGGAACCGCCGTCAGACATTACTTCGGAGGATTTGGCCTCTATGCTACTTAACTTTCTCGTCGTTTCTCCTCTGTCTCTTTTCGCTTCATTATTTTTGTAAAACATTTCCAGAATTGCCTCCAGGGTACTCTTTTCTCTCCACGAATAAATTTCCAACATTCTCTATATTTATTTCGGAGCCGCACTTTTCCGTAGCTTCCTCCCTAAGGTCTTCATCCTCCGTGCACACGGAGATTGTGTGTGCGGGTGTGTCCTGTTGTTCGCAAAATCAGCATTCGTCTGTTTCCGCCTTTATAATCTTTTTCAGGTAGGTCGCAAAGATTCCGTGGCATGTCATCGCTTGTGTCATATAATAATCAGTTTCCCCTCCCTTTTTATTGATCCAGCCACGCACATCCTTGATGAAATGCCTTGCGAAGCCTTCATATGCTTCCCACCTTTCCTGCCAGTTGTTGAACAGCTGGTCCCTCGCGTCCCCTCTACTTTGCTTTACTTCATTGTTAATTTTGCATCTTTCCTTTATGGCTAGGTCGATCGGTGGTGATCCCGCCAACACTTGCGTCGCAGCCATCGAGGCCGTTCTGTAGGCAGAGGTGACTCCTATAGCGAATCTTCTATTCACCCTTTCTAAAGTCCTGAGGTAATTTTTATATTTTATCGCAGGCTCCCATTTCGGTGCAGCAGCGTACAGTATTGCAGCACTGCGCTAGCTACAATCCTTCTATTGTTGCTTTTTAGTCCTCCAGTCTTTGACATTATCCTCATAAGTGAGTTTAGCATCCTGTTGGCCGTTTCTGCTATTTTGTTAACATGTGTTGTCATGCTCAGGTCCTTTTCAAAATATACTCCTAGGTACTTTACCGCCCTCGACCTCTGTATTATGTTGTTATTCAAGTTGATTTCGGCTTCTAGCACCTTCCTCCTCCCGGCCCTAATGAGCATCTCCATTTTCGTAGTTGCGACAGATATTTTCATTTCTGTGAGCCTTTCGGTCACCGTCGTGGCTGCGTGCTGTGTCCTCTGTTCTTCTTTTTGCTCTCACCACGATAGCAAGATCGTCTGCATATGCGATCAGCTTTACGCCTTCCTCTGTTTCCATACCTAGGATCTGGTCATAGAAAATGTTCCATAATAGAGGTCCTATGATGGTCCTGTAACCCAGATAACACAATGTGCGTGAATGTGCTCGAAAAGTTCCAGCCGACTTTAGAGAAAATAGTATTTCAATGGTAATGCTTTGGAAATATGTTAAAAGTGCGTATAATAAAACAAACCAAATCAAAGTAAGCTAGCAGCATCGAAGAAATGCTCCTATTTCAACTTTTAAATTGAATGATCTGTAATTTGCAGGAAAACCACTGCAAAACCGCATAATTTTAGTGTGCGAATTAGCGGTTCGCTAACAGCACTCCCTGAACACTTACCAAGGTACCGAAAGAGTAGAGTCTGCTCTAGGTGCTCTACCTGCGCTACCTGAGAGCCTGCAGTCGGCAGTGATTAATTATAGGTTTAGAGATACTCCGATCGTGCAGGTGGTGCACCACAGAGGTGCAACCCCCACCACACATATCAAATGTGGGAAGGAAAGGGATAAAAAAGCGACAAGAAGGCAAGCAGAAGCAAGGAAGCCTGAGCCGAAGCTGCCGGCTGCCGCCATTGCGCCATTTTCAATGTTTGCATTTTTGGGCATTTAGTTTCGTACGTGTTTGGGTTCTGTGCGTGTTTTCGATTTCACTGGAAGAATAATGAGTTCCAAAGGGTAAGTGAGTGAAAATTATCAAATATTAGTTATGGGTTAATCCAAACTATTTCGTTCTGCGCTGTATGTGGTGCTTGTAGGTGGTAATGCATGCGTGGTGGGTGTGTTTGTGTTTTCACTGTTTATTTAACGAAATTCTGCAAAATCGTTTCAATTTTTTTAGGGCCTATTCGACAAGATATTATTGCAAAATAAGTTCACTTTATTAGATGAACCTTTTTCCCTATAGGTACCCGACGAAGCTGCCAAATTTTAAATCTGTCATTTCAAATTTTCCATCCCTAAAACGACTCCGATATGTATGAATTAATAAGCCTTTAATTGCGCATCTTATTTTCTCATTTGAGCCACGTACCTACCCCCTGTACTTTAATAGTTTCCAAAAACCCCATTAAACTCATTTTATTTGGTGCCCTCTGTGTCTCATCTGTATAAGAGATTTTAATTTAAGTATGATTTCTTTTTCAGGTAGGTACCAGGAAAAGCGAAGAAGAATTATTTAGAAGAAATGAATATGTTTTATTTTATTTTTTATTTAAGTATGTTTCCTATGTTTATTTATCAAAAGATCACAATTCCCAAATGTTTCTTTTTTATTTGCAATGGGCTATCAGATCAGTGAAATAAAAAATGTACTCAAAAAATACTTCAATGAAGTACTTTAAGAGTACAATATAAATTTATCAAAAAAAGATGTTCTAGTGGTGCTTTTTCTCTCTCGGAGAAGTGCTTTTATGTAGCATTTCAGGAATACTTCCAACGTACGCTTGGAGCACTTAGAGCACTCCATGTTGGAAGTGTGCAATTGCAGTTCTTCTACGATTGCGCCTTTTTTTTACTGGCCGGCTGTACATCCCAGAAGCGGCTGAGTGGTTTTCACAAGTACTTCTCAGGCATGCAAATGTGAAAATACAGTACAATTGAAGTACTTTTCATGTAGTTTTGTGTTATCCGGGAAGTCTTTGGGTCGTTTATTTCCTTTCTTGGCTTTTCCACCAGCACCAGTCTGGCAGCTTTCGACATCTTCGGGAAGATTCCGCTGCTTTTAGACATCCATTGTATACCTGTAGAAAGGCCTCAGGGTTTCCTTTTACAAATATATTAAGGACTTCTGGCGTAATGTTGTTTGGTCCCGGGGCTTTCTTCGGTTTAATATGATCGATGGCAATCCTAATTTCGTGCTCTTTAAATTTGTCTACCTCGTTACTGGTTATCTCCACTCAGTTTTTGGACTTGTCGATCTATATGGCATAATCGTTTCTTGAGTTTAAATCTAGTGGTGCCGCGAGACGAGACTAGACGAGACTTAGGGTTGGTCTCGTCCCGTCTCGACATCTCGAGACGAGACCATGACTTAGTCTCGGTCTCGAGTACGAAAGTCTCGTCTCGTCTCGTCTCGAGTGGTCTCGTCTGGTCTCGAGTTATACAGGGTGTCCAAAAAAAAGCGTAAAAACTCTTCTCTACGTGGTGGAGGACCCTACAAGGAACCCCAGAAAAATACTTTAAAAAATCTAGTGGCTTTTTTAAGAAAGTTATTTGCATTTTAATATTTATTAAAATTGGCAACACTGAAAATACACCGTTGACAATATGTCAGAGAATTAAATTGAATACCCATGTAATTATCTGGAGAATTCGAAGGTGAATTTTCACATCTACCTCTTCATATTAGGTACCAAGAATAATGCTGGAGAAGGATTTTTTTAATTGAATTATTTTTCTAGGGTTTCTCAAAAGGTCCCCTACTAAGTGGAGAGCTTTTACGTTATTTTTCGTACACCCTGTATTTATGGTTTTTATTTTTATATTATAAAGGAAGTCCAAGCTGCCACAGTGAAAAAGCAATTAGTGAAAAATCACAGTAAAGAGCAACCGTGATATTTAATTTACTGATTTCATATTCAAATAACCCAGAATAGTTCAATAATAAAGCTATGAAAGAAAAATTTTAAGTGTAATCTCGAGACTGAAGACTACACGAAACTCTCGCCGAGTCTGGTCTCGTCTCGTCGAGACTTCACGAGACGATACCAAAAGCCAGTCACGTCTAGAAAAGTCGAGACGAGACGAGACGAGACGAGACCAGTCTCGCGGCATCACTATTTAAATCTCT